CACCACCGTCCTAATAACTGGGATTTCGTACAACTTCCTCTCAGAAAAGGACAACAGCCGGTTACATGTTCAATGCACTTAAAATCAGGAGTCCTATGTTTCATTCCTTTTTAACCTGTATTCTTCCAAGGATCTTTGAAAAAAAGCTAAACATGTTTGAAAGACAAATAACGTGTATAATTTGTTAGGAAAATTAAAAGTAAAACGATGCAATTACTGTCCAATAATGTAGAGAAAAGCAGGGCACATACTTCTTGAAGGCAGCAGAAATCACCGTCTTATCTCCGACTTTGGCTTCCTCCTTTGAGAAGAACCCAAAGCCGCTGAACGAGGCCGTTTGTCCAGACTTTGTGGGACTCTTCGCTGGAGGAGGTGACACGCTGCCGACGGTTTTCCACAGCGGACCGCCGCTCGGAGGCCCTTTGCTCTCAGCACTAGAGGGCACGTCTTCCTTCTTTACCTCGGGGCTGATTCGTTTGGGGCTTGCGTCGTAGTCGATCCATTTGCCTCCGGACGCCTTCTCGATGGCGCTGCCGTCGGCCCCCTGTCCGGGTTTCTCTGCTGGACTCTCTGTGACCTTTTCTTTGCTGTCCTTGGAGCCAGGCTTGCCCTTGCTGCTGCGATGCCGGGGGGACGGGGATCTGGACCGGGAGGAGTAGCTGGAGCGTCTGGAGCGCCGGGATCGTCCTGAAGACGAGCGGTCGGAGTAGCGGGACCGGCTCCTGCTGCCCGAACGCTTCCTGGGCGTACGGGAGCGAGAGCGACCCCTCCTGGGGCTGTGGGAGTGGTGGTCCTGGTCACGGTGACGGTCGTGCCAGCCTCCTCCCCCTCCTCCTCCTCCTCCTCCACCACCGCCGCCGCCGCCGCCACCCTGCCAGTTAGCTTTGTAGCCGTAGCCGCCTCCCCCTCTGTTCTGGTAGTGGCCTCGTGGGTGGTAGCCCCGGTTCCGGCCTCGGTAGTGGTACGGCCTCCGGTAGCCTCGGTTGTAGCCTCTGAAGCCGCCTCTGTTGTTCTGATAGTCCCGAGAAGGATAGTTTCTGTAGGTTGGAGTATGTGAGCGAGACCGGGACCGAGACCTGGAGCTGAATAAGACAGAAGAGGGAAAAGACAGAAAGAAGAATTAGAGGGTTTTATGTGACTGCTCGTAAGTTTACAGCAAGTTTCAGTTTCAGCACAAGACGGAGCGACAGACTTACAAACACTCAAAGTCAGTGACCTCGAACAAGAGACTGAGCGAACATCAGAAACTAACTGAACAACGGTCACAGCTCGATACGCATCTCAGTTTTGACGTCAGTTTGGTCGGTTTTTGTTGCAGCAAAAACAGGAAACACAAAACATTAAACTTGCTTTGACTTCTCCAGGATGTGACGAGGACACCGGCCAACAAACATGTTTTCATGTCGAGTTCACTGAAGGACGCTTCCTTTTCAAACCCACCTTCACCGCCTTCACATCGATTTTCATGCCATTTTTTGCGTTAAAATGTTCTAAATCCAAACTACACAACTCAGTGATGAACCTACTGACAGAACAACTTCAATAGTCGACAAAATCTTTTCTGAATTTGAGCAAATTTGAGAAATTCAGCCAATCCAGCTGTTTAAAATGGTAACAGGATTGATGACTGGAAGAATTTCACAAACTGACTTCACAACAACTTCATCGTTTCCTGACACGTTACGGCCAAAACAACGAATGAGTAAATTCAGAAACTCTAATGAACATAACTGGCTGCACTCAGAACTCGGTTTTTAAAAGACTGCAGCGATAATTCAGCTGTCTGACCAGCAGGTGGCGCCTCCAGCACACTGTGACTGTTGGTGACCTTAGAGACTTTAAAACCAGACAAAACATTGCACACCGTTTTAAAATCACGGCCCTTAGTGGTCCACAAACCATATTTTGACACGCATTGGCAATAGACAGACACCTCCTACTGAAGTGGAGCTCTCTTGTGCCTGGAACAAATCACCGCTGAGACCGGTGGCTCATCCTGTCCGATATAATCTGTGTGTTGTACAGCGTGAAGAAAAATGACAGATAAAAGTGATAAACATTGTCCTATCAGCACAGCCCTAACCTAACTGTAGGAAAGCTTGGACACTGAAAACAAACAACTCTGAAGTGAGAATGGTACAACTTCAACCTTCATATTCCAGAGAAAAATTCAAATAACCAAGACAGGATCCTCATGGACACGGAGCTGAAATGCTTACCCATTGGATCTTTTCATTAGAACGGAGCGGCCCTGGGCTGTGCTTCATTACATGTGAGAGGTTGGTTCCCTCCAGCCGGATGTCTTACTGTATGTGTCGGTAAAAGGTGGATCCAGGACACAATCTGCTCTAATCCACAGAGGGAGGAGGCAGCGAGAAGGAAGGAGGAGATACAGCAAAGCCACAAGTTGCTGCTCCCGACTTCTATTTCGCTCTTTCTTTGACAAATCATTGACATGCAGCGGAGCACAGCTCTTCAGGGGAAAAAAATGCTGTTCAACCTCCCAGAGTGTGTGAAAGTGGTTAACCTTTGAGCTTCAAACACAAACTACACCGACAACACAAAGCTGAGAGGGCAAAAAGCAGCCAACCGAGGAGATTAGACAACATTCACATGCAAGAGTTCTGATTTGAATTCTTTAAAAAAAAATCTAGTACAGTAATTTTTACACACACGTACATTTACTTTTAAAATCGTAGTTTTCTTCCCTCCCTAATGTCAGCTCAGTGGAACCTGAACGTGTTTTGTGATGTGTAAACTGCTGAATGAATAAATCAGGCCACTGGACATTTGTACGACAGCAGGACTGGGCGATAAAACAGCAACGTACATCAATTAAGACTTCATCAGTGGACATAAGAGAACTGCTCGTTTCACTTTGATGCAATCTCAGATGAAAGTTGCATCAACAAACTCCAAACACGTCCCCTCCCCGCCTCGTAAACAGCTTATCATGTCCCTGATAACAGTGACACACAAAGAGCCAAATAATTTAACAGGCTGTTGTTTGGTTGTACCATCGGTGTGTAACACAACCCTGAGCCGTCTCCGTCTGCCAGCACGTCTCAGAGACTGGACCTGTTCGCTGGAGGAAACCTGCAGAAACAGTCTGACCTCCGAACATCTCTCTTTTTTTAAAAATTATTTCTGTATAGTCATTGCTTTTTGCATGTTTTTGCTTTTCTATGCTGTGTTAACATCTGAAGTGTTGGGTTATCTGTGAGCCTTTTAATAAGTTATTACTTTTGTTTTGTTTTTTTTAATTCAGCCTTCTTTCTCCTGGCCATTATTTAAAGTAGGTCTTGATGATATTATCAATAATCAATTATCAATATCAACTGAAATAAAACATTGCATCCTGATATAATTTTCAGCTTTAGCCCTAAGTTGTGTAGATTTAGAAACAGGCTAAAGTAGTAAAATGGCCTTTGTTTGTCATTAATAACTATCGAAGACATTGTCAAATACAGAACATTTATATCATGGATGGACTTTTCAGTTATATTGCGAAGCCCAAAACGAGCTGATGCAGGTCTGTACGTCCTCCCACACGCAGAAAGACATGCAAATTAACAGGGAACCTGGAATCAGGCAGTTCAAGCCAAGAAAAAGAAGGAAATGAGGAACTAACTGAGTTAACACCTGAATTTAACTATATCAAAATCAGCTGCGTTGGCCGAGTGTATAAACACATAGAGGACTAATAGTTTCTCAAAGTAACTGGATAAAAAACAGACACGTTCGTCTACAGAAGGGCAACAGCTTAGAAAAGTTAAGTTAGTGATGAACTAGTCGGTACAGCAACCAAACAACAAAGGTTTAGTGCAAAATAGAGTCATTAGCGACTAACACAGAGCTGTTGACAGCGTATTTACATGAGGGAGGTCTAATGGAACCGAGCGCTGCGTTGCTTGGATGAAATATAAACAAGCATGTGGAACGGAGTAAACACGGAGGGTCGGGGTTCCAACAGTTGTTCCTGTCATCGATCAAGATATCAGTTCTTAAAAAAACAAAACCTGCAGCAGTTACACACAAGTTGGTTTGTGAGCCGTACTTCCAGATGAAACCCATAAAACGATGTGTACAGAAACTGCTCAGCTCTTCACGGGACGGTTTACTGTTGCAGAGATGTCGTGTCATTATGAAGCAAACAGCGAGTGAAACACGATGCGGCTGTTCCTCGCTGCTTTGTGCAGAAGAACAAACACCAGAGCCACGGGGATGTTTGTGCACAAACACACTCAGCTAACAGGGAAAAAAAACCTCGACCTGTGAATCACAAAACCTACGGCAACAAGCACGTAAACTAAAACCGAAAGCTGAAGGGATTGTAGACCAGACTGCACGATTAACAAACTGCTGTTTATTCTTTGCAAGTAAATCTGACTGGTTGACTCGTTTATAATTTGAATTATGAGTCGCGTCACAATTGTTACATTTTAGTTAAAGAATAATTATCACTCGAATAATTTCAATTAACAAATTGTCATTTTAGTTAGTTTTAAAACAGTGCAGTTAATGACTTTAAACGGCACCGTTTCAGCATCGAATCCAATAAATCAGCTCCTTCACGTTACTGAGATCAGCTTCCTCGTTTGGCTGCAAACCAAAATGTGCCCACAGCAGTTTCATGCTGTTTGTCTTTGCAGCTAAATCCATTACAGTAATGTCAATAGATGCTCACTAAAACGCACTCATGAAATATGAGAAGCTATGCACCTGGAAAAAAAAAAAAACGGTTTGTGTTGTGAACAGAAGACTGGGTTCAAACTGTGGTGACCAACGTGTCTGTCAGTTTCATACAGGTGAATGAAAACGATAATTTAACATTGTTGCAGCTTAAATCAGGTGATCAGCTGATTATGTATTGATGGTACCAACATCTAACAAGTGCAGAAAAGTAAAACATATTTATTTAACATTTAGCTGTGTACCAACCGACTGAAGGCCTCGATAGCTTGTGGATGATACAGGTCATGAATGTTCTGGATTCATTCATTCATTCTGGACCTACCTGTAGCGTCGCTTTCTGGATCTTGAACGTGAGTGGCTTCTGGAGTGAGATCTGGAGTAGGACCTGGATCTGGATCTGGACCTGGATCTGGAGCGGGACCGAGCTGGAGAATCTGGAGCCTTTGACATCTTTTCAATCAGTCAGGCCAGTACAAATGAGTCTTTGCTAAAAAAAAGAAGAGAAGGAAAGGAGCCGTCAGTGGTAATGCTTTGCTTGTGCACAGAATTTACTCTCTAAACGTTCATTATGGGAAAGAAACGGGTTCAAACAAACACCACATTAACTGCAGGGCTGCACCATGACGCTAGTTTGACAAAGTCAGGCTTTCTTTGTGTGAGCTGGTTCAAGAAAGCCTAAAGCCCCCCCCATCAGAGATAACGGTGTCAGACGTTGGTTGTCATCTTTCTTTGTGAAGCAGGTTTTGAAGAATATAAACATGTATTACAGTTAAACGCTGGTAGAAAACTGTTCATGCAGCTGCTTATTTCTAACTTACACGACTTTTGTAACTTTAAACCCAATTCATTTAAACCTAAGACTCAACATTTACACCTGACACTGTCCCGTGATGGAGGAGACGAGGAAATCACTTTAGTTTTTGGACAAATTAAAGTGAAATGAACGTTACTGATTGAACACTTTCTGTGATAAACACCAACAGACTGATTCATTTTCTCACCTGTGTTCTATTCGCTGCAGTACAAAACAGACTGAGCAGCAAATCAGGACCAAACATAAAAACACAACATGCTTTTTCTGCATCACCAACTGAATATATGTCGGTTCCCATGGCAACGTGATGTACACAGTTTTCCTGCTGTAACTACAACGTACAGCTGAACAGGTTTGCAGATGAAACCTCAGCTGAGAGTTTTTTACAGCTCAGAGATAATCATCAGGAGAAGATGCTTCTTACGGCCGATTTAAATCTCCAACTCTGAACAGACCCGCCTCCAGATCTGTGCAGCATTAGTTACCATGGTGATGGAGGAGGTTAAAAGAGAGCCGTCATCACAGCATTTAGAATTCCAGCTTTAGGCTCAGCATACCTGCTAACACGCTAATCTCACACTCCGTACGCTCCTCTGGTAGCAAAGGTCAGACTGTTGCGCAAACATCAAACAAAGCCGGACATTAATCAGACCTGTGCAGCTTCTCCCTGCCGACAGGCTGAAGGCGGGACGCTGTATGTGGCACCTCGCTGCCCGTCAGCAGGACCACCGGCCCCACATGACCTTGAACCGTCAGAGCAAAATAAATCAGAGCAGGGAAAACGAACGCAGGCCAACAGGCTTCAGACTGCAGCAGACAGCTGGACAGAGTGTAAACATGTGTTCTGAGCCGGCAGCAACATGAGACAGGAGGAGCCGAGCTGCTGTTTGCATGTTCAGGCTGAAAGCTGGATCGACATCAGACAAACCTGAACAGTGCTGCTATCCAGAGACATGACCTTACTACCAGATACCAGGATCTGACTCAGAGGTCTCCATCTCTACTACGAATGTTATCAAAGGAGTCTGAGTCAGAATCAGCTCCGTGGGCTTCGTGTAGTTTCTAGAGGCAGCTGTGAGAAGACGGCCGAGGAAGTGATGCTGTATCATTCCTACATATAGGCGTTTAGTGGGACGCCCGCAAGGTTTAAGGATGAGACAATAACCATGAACATCCCCGTTTAAGTTTGATCAGGAACTTTGGTTACAACACTTTGACCTTTTTAATACCAAAATGAATGTAAGTTAATGCTTATTTCTGCAATGCTACAATGGAAAACCAATACAGATTAAATAAATATGACAGAAGTTCATTAATCCTGAGAGACATTCTTGTGAAAAATTGCAATAACATGAGAAAAAATCCTGTCTGGTAGAAGAGCAATGCGATGCAACGATGAAACGTGACGACAAATAAAAACAATAAGCTCAAACAAAACGAGAACAGACATGTAGGAAGTAGTTCTCGTGAAGTAGCAGTGAAGTAATATCGCACATGACAATGAAGTATTGTTCACAACATGAACAGTGACAAGAACAGTGTAGAGTCCAATGGTTATTTGTTATCATATCACATCAGCTGTACATGATACAACAGTTCATAAAAATCATCATGAACTGGATCCATATGAGCAGATGGACGTGTTAATCAA